GAGCTATGTGTAATAACTCTAAAATATACAAGAAAAGATCAAGAAAGTCCAGGCTGCAGAAATCCATTAAAAAGTGAAAGGAATCAATTTAATTTATCACATTAAACAAATGGAAAAAAAACAATGTCAGACCTAATACAGATGTTTTGCAGTATAGTGGGAAAATTAAGACATTTTCAAGCAGCAAGGCTTGCAAGTCATCGTCTTGAAATGCTTAGATCAGGTGGCACTCTCTGTTAGAAAAGTAAGCTCTGTAATGATATTGATTGCTTCCAAGGCCATATTAGAGATGAAGACAAGTCCCAGGAGAGAGGTTGTTGTCACCTTGACCTTGGGTCAGAGCTGGACCACTGACCCCTGACACCCAGGACTTCTGCACTGCATCGTGATATCTTTCATGCCTACAGACAAAGTCAGCAGGGGACATGTGTCGATGTGGCCCTTGCCAAATCAGAATTGACTGGCCTGTAGGAAGCTGGAGAGCAGCGGGAAATGTGGGTTAAAGTATGTCAATAATGTTTCACAAGAACAATTTCTCCCAAGAATTGTAGCTGTTGGAATGTTTTGACATTTATTCGGTAGAGAAATGTAGCATGTTTTGTGAAGCACTTCAAGAGAGCTGCTGCTAACTGCCGCGGTGTATTGATCTTCCTGTTAAATTGCATGGGCACACTTGGGAGATCATTGAGATTCAGGCAACAGGACAGAAAGGATCGGCTGCACCCGATGGTCACTAATGGTAATTGGTTTCGATCCTTGCACTTGAAGAAGCCGTGATTTACTTGGTTCACAGATGAATTGTAGACACTAAATATTTTGAAAAGAAAATATACTGTGATTTCTTTTTCTCATGTCATTTACAACTTATTGCCTCCACTTCGAATGTTTCATATAAAGTGTAGAAATCCACATGACTCAGTATAAGAACATGCTAAGCAAAATTTCAAGGAATTCCCTCTTATCTGTAAAGCTTGCATTGATGAAAAGCAAATGAACTTTCTGATACTAATATAAATAAGTTAATTAAATAATTATAAAAAAATTTAACACAATCTTAAAAATCCAACACTTTTAAGCCTCCCTATCATCACAATACATCTTTTCTACATTATGCACATTCTTCTCTTCATTCCATTTGGTGGTGTATCATCACAGTCTTAACACAATGAATCTTAAAAAGAAGCATATTGAAGGCAACTACAAAAGTAGAACAACGTAGGCAGGTATGGCTAGCAATGTAATATTGATGTAAATTATACTGGAATGAAGAATCTGATATGAAAATTAGATACTAATGTTAATATCAGAGTAAATTATTGCTACGATACAGGAGCTGGTATAAAAATTAGGGTATATTTCCAAATATGAATATGATGATAATGCTACCAAAATTCATGCCACACATGATTTTTAAAGCAGATTTTAAAGGGCTTCTGTAGCTTTCTGCTTTATACAAGATACTTTTCTAAGTATATATACATAATTACATGAAAGCAAAACTATTCAGTAATGACAGCTGCTTTAATACAAAGAAATTCATATATACTAAGATTCTGGGAAGGAACCAGTTCTGTAATTCTTTTAATCTGTTTCAAGTACACGTGTCCTTTATGATACATACTACATTCCTACAGATTTTTAAAGGAAAAAAGGGTTTTCAGTTTTTGTTCTGGGGTTTTTTTCCCTTCAATGGAGAGGTCAGCAGTTTCTCCAAACAGCTGAGTTTCATGCATAAACTTGCATAAAATATCCATAAAATCTATATAGCATTTTGACAAATAGAAAATAGCACAATATAAAGTAACAACATATATTGTTTCCTTGTTAACTAAGATCAAAGTGATGCTTACCCGGAGTCTTTTGGTTAAAATGACTATAAATAGATTGCAAATTCAATTACACCTAAATCATGCATCACAGAATTTATATTATCCAGAACTAAAATAGATAAAATAAATAAAAATGAATGTCTGAATGCTACTGAAAATTCAGTATAACAGTAATATGGCATTTTCAATTGCTGCACAAGTCTCAAATTTCTGAAATATTTACAAACCTTAGATAATGACAACCTCAGGAGAAAATCAAGAAAACAGACGGTATACAGGAGATAGCCTGAGGCAACCAGTGATGAGGTCAGATCTATACAGTATGTGTGCTTTACATGAAAAACGCTCTACTAAAATGTCTTTGCGTACTGCGTAGAGCTTTGGGATGTAGCAGGTATTCACTAGGGGAAGGTAAGGATTATTTACTAGGATCAGTAACATGGAATTCAATATTAAAACCGACAAAGGTTATCATCTATTACACATTAAATTCACCACAGTTGTTTGACAACTCTCATAGCAACAGAATCCACCCTTAACAATTCAAAGCAATCTTTCAGATTAAAGTTCATGTGATCACTTTAAAGAACTATTCATTGTTAATCAAGCAATATTGCTTCAGGCATCGTGTTTGTCTTTCACTTCAGGCTATTTGGTTGATTGCAGAAAATGCTGAATTTCTCTGTGTGTGTGTGCAGAGCTTTGTGTCTGCTAGGTGGAAGTGACAGGTGAGGCAGAGGGGAGGGGGCGATATGGGAACTGATTGAATAGACTGCAAAAGCAGTAAATAAACCCCAGTGGCTGAGTGTTTTGGTGGGCAGGCTGAGAAGTATATTCTGCCTTAATAACTGCACAATTTAATTTTGTAGGACATTAATCAGTGACAGAATCTTTAAAATATAAAGTATCTATTTAAAACACCTCATTCTATATATAGGAATAATATGTACCATTCATATATGCTTCTAACATTGCCCAGATTATCTTGATCATGTAGTACTTTACACATTTGCTAGTCAGAGCTGTTAGTCACAGAAAGGTACTTCTCAGAGGGATTAAGAAAATTCAACTCCAACATTTCATGGCATAGACACTCTCTTTTTTTCTCCCCATTTGGTTATGTCTTACTCTTGATTTAACTATACTCCAAAGGTTTAACAGATGCAATATCCCCAACAATATCATTGTAGGGAGGAAAGACTAAAGATGCTGGGACAATTACCTGCTCAGACATCACTGTTAAAGACCCTAGAATGTTTACTCCAGTGACCTAACACCTGTGGCAGCGTTCAGCATCCTTAAAATATTTCTCCTTTTGAGGAAGTCGGTCATTCTGCAATGCTGCCCTAACATCTAACCAGGTGTTGGGTCCAAGCCCAAATGAGAGACTGCTTGCTGTCGGTTGGCAATACCAGTGGATCCTCTTTGATGTCCATGAAGAGTCTTGCTCACAGGTCACAGCACAACTCTTAAATAGGAGTGAAAGATAAATGAGTCGTAGTACAGCCTTTTAAATGCTGGAAGTAGATATCCCATCAAGATGTCTTCAAGAAACAAAGTAGAAACCATACAGGAGTGTCTGAAGTAATTTGTATTTCTTGATTTAAGGAATTCTGCATTCAGAAATTCTCTTTAAAGATAATTGTTTTTCCATTAGAAAATGTCAATTTGTTTGAAATTAAGCTGTGTTTAGGAAAAGTGGTTTGGAATACCCTTCTGATTCAAAAGTCTTATAGATGAAGACTTTTTAAGTGGTCAAATATCCCAATTTGACATTTCTAATAAAAATTTCCAAGTTTGGCTCCACTTCAAAATAATGCTCCATTATGTGCTGAATAAGAATAGTTTATAAAGAATTAAACCCTAAAAAATGATTTAAAATTACTGGAATTATCCATGGTATTTTACCCAACCACGTTTTTTTCCTGCAGTTCATCAGTTTGCATAAATTCCTAAATCCAGAGAGAAACCAAAAAATGGAAATTTGTATTGTTGGAGTAATATCTGTTCTACTCAGCTACCCATACCACGATGGTTTCCAGTAGAAAATATGTCATTAAGAAAGCTCTCATGTTTTATATTTTGGAAGGTTACTCATAAAATCAACTTTTTCTTCTGTCCTTCTCAACATTTTTAGGTAGTTTCTCAAATCTGAGAAAGCATGATCTTATTTCAGAAATAAGTCCACCATCAAAAATGAACACTAAACAAAACTTTTCAAATCTTTGCAATCCGTTTAAAGTGTGCAAAATATGTGTCTGTTTCACACCCTTCATAACTAGTAAACTAGTGTTTACTCCTAGTTAAAGATATTCCCACAATGAGAATTCTTAAATCACGAGAAAATGAAATAATAACAATTCATTACTAGCAAAGCATAATGATGTGCACTTATTTTACTCTTTCTTTCTTTAGACCACACAAAATAAACAAGGAAGCTGCTGACCTTGCCCTACAGAAGTGTTTTCTAATTGTCAAAAAAATTTTAGAAGAATTAAGGGTATTAATTTTCTTTTTTAAATAAGACGGTGTTTTATTTTAATGATGCTTTGAAATTCCTTTTTAGCCAAAAAAGAAATCCTGTTAACTGTGGAACAAAATTCAAATCCTGATGATAATATCCTTGACAAGTCTGTACTTCTCTGGAGTAAATGAGATTTTATTGTGTTTTCTTTCATTTTCTCATTTCATATTTCAGAAGAATGAAAAATAGTTTCTAATGAATCACTGATCCTTCTCTTTTCTCCCTTGTTATATTATTACTCTTACTAAGAAACATTCCCATAAATGTATATCTTCTTTTTCATATCTTCCTAAGAAAGAAAAAAGCACTTTTCTATGGTCATCTTTTCAGTCTGAATTACTGCCTCTTTTCACAATATGCAGATTAATTCATTACATTTGGATTTTATTCTTTAAGCTCCTTTAAAGTGCACATATTTGTTTCATATGTGTGTATGTGTTCTAGCACAAACTTTATCTAAAATAAATAAATACATATCAGTAAAGATAAAAGTAGAAAGATGATTTATATCAAAGAGCTCAGCATGGAGTGCCAACAGTTCAGTAAATATTACAGAAGGATAGCAACAAAGAAGAAATGCATGGCTCTAGTTAACAAAAACATGCAGTTGTAGACGTGCAAGTGCGTAAGGCAAATATCATAAATACCTTTCACGTTCTTTTGGGAAATGCTGGTCATTTAATAGCTCAACCGGGCACAATGCTCACACCCTCAGGAGCCCCAAGTGAAAGCTTCCAAATAAATGAGCAGTATTCAGTCTGCTAGAGGAGTGAGGCTTTTCTGGTCAATGTTTTTGGATTTAGCTGAAGAAAATGTTGCCAGTCAAGAAGTAATGAGATGTATCTGTAATTAGAGATCTCAGAATCACAAACTGAGGCTGTTTAAAGCTTAGAGGAACCAAAATAAAGAACGAGTAGGTAATTCTATGTGCAAAGAATTTCTACATTTTAATTTTTTTTCCTTGAAGAGAGTGCAGAGGAAGTCTCAGTAAGAGTTCATTAGAAAAATCACCCTTACAGGCTGTCTTCATGGATAATTTGTGTAAAATACTACAGAAGGGAAGGAGTCAATAAACAAATAAATGTAAGAAGGACCTTCTAATATTTCCAACCTAGCTGCAAGCACTGGGAGTATCCCCTATGGATAAGATACTGTTGTTTAACAGGCAACAATGAAGGATATATTCTCTTGTGACAATTGTCAGGCTTGTGATACCATCAAAGACACCACTCTCATCATGTTGTCACACAAAGTTCCTAGAAATGTGCATTACAACTCCTAAGAGGAGTGCGCAGGGTGTGTGAGTTCCTGATCATTCTCTAGCAGAGAGAGATACCATGACTACAGGATGCAGTATATCGTATCCTGTGAAAAAAAACTGATATCATTTCCTCTAGGCTCCTAGGTTCAAAATCTCCACTTGAAGTAGACTGCCCTACATGCTCTGTATGCTTCTGCTAATTACTCCCTGCAAGATATGGACGGGTAGATTGCTCACAACCAAGCATGGAATGAAAGTGTAACTTCCCAACAGAATGACTTACAAAGATTATATTAAATTGGCATGTCCTAAACACTCCCTTTCGAGGGAAAAGAGATCTGCGGAGCAAAGGACAAGGGGAAACTTGTAAAACCTCTTTTTCCTGACTCCCATCTTTATTGCTGCTATGCAGAGAATTTTGTGGTTTGGGCTTTTTTTTTTTTTTTTTTTTAACTGTAAGCCTCCTGCTAAGACTAAGGTATGTGAAAATAGCAGATGAGCTCTGACAGGGTCTTCAAAATTCATATTTTATATTGTTAATGCTATTCTTAGATGCTTTCAGTACTACTGATTTCATAAATTGCATTCTCTTTATTCATTATGGGCAATTCTTGCTTCAATTTTATCTTCTGTTGAATATTTTGTTCCTATTTTTAACAGTACACATGTGCCTAGATGAAAAAAAGTAAAAGGGGTTTTGGCAGATTTCTTGAAATGAGTAGTAACCCTTCATGTTACATTGCTACCTTTTGTGAAGAATTTAGTCTAAAGTTGATGCAATTTACTTTCTTAAACTCTGAAAAGGAACACTCCAAGAACACTGTTTAAATTATAATGGGGTTATGGATAAGGAATGTATATTTAGCTTAATTTTTAGGATCTTAATATTTGAAAGTCTTTAGAATAATTTTCTTGCTAGATTGTGAAAATGTGGCCTTTAATCTATAACTATTCCCTAAAATGGTACCACTAACATAAAAAAACAAACAAACAAAAAACAAACAAACAAACAGCTGAAAAATCATTAATATTTATGAGCAATATATTGGGCAAACATTACAGGAAATTGGTATCACTGAATGTATTTGTACCATGCATGTGACCCAACCTTTCTCCACCCACAGTTAGTCACAGAACAAAAAAACCCTTCTGAATTCAATTTTTATTTTATCTATTTACAGTATCTATATCTTGCTCAGTCTTAAGACAACATAGAAGGAAGTTCCACTAAAAGAAAATTAATGTGATTTTTGGAAGCAGCAGAGTTCGTATGCATTTCTGAAGCAGAACCCAGCAGGAAACATTTGAAAATTTTGCCATCATGTTCTTGGATAGGAACAGGTATATAAATTCCCTCTGCTTGCACTAATATCTCCAAAGAAAACATTACTTATCTATTGCTCTGAATTGTTTTAACTCATGATATTGATGGAAAGATGAGAGAGTGCTAATAATATTGTATTTTTATACATAAACACATAGAAGAAAAATGGATGATAAAAGAGAACTCAGTTCAAAGGAAAAGACATGCTGACTTTGATGTTTCCCACAGGTGCAGATCCATTTACCACGATGGGCTTTCTGAAGGGTTTTTTGTTATTTAGACTTCGAACATTAGGATATTTTTTCAGTTGAAACCATTCAGATTGGCATACTGAATCTTGACATTGTTTTAATATCTATTTATCAAGAACAGGATTCTCTGATCAATTGGTATAGCTAGTGATCTTTTTATCCATGTCTATCTGGGACAAGTTCAGCAATTTTAAGGGGTATAATTTACCCATAAATTGTTCATGGGTGGATCAGAGGAGAAGTCCAAGTTCATTTATACACACATATACAAAAATATTTATATACTAATATATGTCAGTATACATATACTTGTTCACATATCTGTGGATCAGAAGGGAAGAGCTCTGAAAATGATAAGAAAAAGGTGAGAAATTGCACATTTAAACCTCCATCATCTCTCAGATACATACATAGCTGCATCTCTTTTTTCAAAGAATCCTTAGAACTTTATGTGCATGTGTTGCACCAAGTAAATCCTGTATCTCAGAAACAAGCAGGATAAATGTACTTTTAGGCTTTTCCCAATTGCTCACACAGTTTAAAACAGCCTCTGAGCTGCAGGTAGCCTGTCTCATTTGGGACAATAAAGAAAAACCTGTCATTTGTGAGTGTGCTGGAGGGTACTTACCACAGGTACATACACATGGAGTCTGGAAAGATCACAGCTATGAAGTTCCTGTCTCCAAAAGCAAATGCTTTGCTAGGCAATGTGGCCTGATCCATGTTCCACCACTCATGTTCTCCATGTCCTCCATTCCTTATCTACAGGAACCCTTGCCAGAAAATGGAGGAGCTTTTCAACAAGGAGGCTGGGAGCTATTTGTGCAGGAGAGGAAAGGGACAGTATTCCAGGAGACAAGGGCACCCGTGCATGACAGTAAGCTGAAACATGACCCTATGGATGAAAGAAGGACATCACAAGTACAAAAAATAATGTTTTTCTCATGTCCTTGAGGATAATGGTGCAACATCCAGTGTGGTTGCAGAGCTGAAGGTTTTCTCTCAGTACAGAGCGCCAACTCTTCATGGACTTCTCTTGGAGTTGGGAAGATGTGCACTTTGCAGGGAATTGTGCCCAATGTATAGGAAGCTGTCTGACACCTAAGCCTCTTTTTGTGGCAGATTTCCTATTTGCACCATCAGTTGCTCAGGAACTGTGGGATAAGGACTCTTTTGTGCAAAAGAGTTTTCCTTTTTGGAATATTTAAACCCATGGGTTTTAATCAAGTTGTTGAGAAATATCATACGTACATATGCAAGAGTGAAGTGAATGCTTTCAGAACTGAACATTTTCTCATATTTTTTGACATTTTCACCCCATTTGGATCTTTTGTCTTGTTTAGTCATGCCTCAGTTGTGGCTCTATACAATCCCTATTGCTGCAGAAGAGACTTAGAGCTGTCTTAGAGCCACACAGAACCAGTCCTCTGTGTTCTGCTTGATTAACTGGTGAGGGAAGTTCTCCCACCTAAAGGTTTCTGGACATTTCTGCTCTTCCTTATACCCCTCCAGCCTCACAAGTGTCAGCAATCACAGCATGCTTATCCACAGCTTGCAAATCTTTCACACAGATGCAGCATGGTGGGCTTAGGGGATGTTTTTAGGGAACAAATGAAATGCATATGTTGAAATGTGTTTGTGAAGAGTAATACAAGGGTTTGAGGATCAGGGGATTTGTGAGGTGATGCATGAAGTGCAGTGAAGTCATAGGTTGCTGCTCAGGTACCTACAATGCCTAATTGTTTTTATTGAAGCTGTAATGAAAACCCAAAAAATGGAATTTTGACCTTTTAAAAAAATTAAAATATCCTTGGAAAATTATGATTTCAACCCAATAACTTTATCTTTAGCCCTTGGAAAATGAACTTTATTTGAGTTTGTTCTGCTACCCTCTCTAAGCTTGGCTCTTTACACCTTACATGGCTGTAAGATGTGGTTAGTTAATTTACAGTGAAATGTCAGACAATGCATGTGCATATCCCTAAGCACAGACAGAACTGTTAAAAGGGAAAAAGAATAATGAACAATAAATGAAAGCCCAGAGCACTAAATTCTGCACTTTTACTTACAATAATTAATGTATTACCTCAAAGATAGATTAACTCTTCCATTAGAACCTACATATACTTGGGTGTCATTATCATCCGTATAAAACAAAAAGGCTGCCCTGAAAGATTATTCTCTTGTTTAAACAAATGAGCGGAAAAGCATATCCATATCACAGTGTTGCACATGGAAACAAACATGTGTGTGTATATTACCTTTCTTTTTGTTTTATATATATTTTCTCTGCTCATTCTTCTTTCATACACTTTCTGAAGAAGAGGCTGGTTTTGCCTTTCATTCAACCCAGCTTTTAGAGGAGATTTCAGAAGTAAATGGAAATTTAGTGTATTAAAAACAAAGTCTAGTTACAGGAAAGATAAAATGTAAGTACTGCTTGCCAGAACTGTTGTGAAGAATTAAGTGTGTAAATTTATTCCACTACTTGCATATGTATGATTTCTTAATATGGCAAAACCAAGGCATTGATACTGGAGTGTCAACCACTGTAGTAAATTAAAAAAAAAAAAAAAAAAAAAAAAAAAAAAAAAAAAAAAACGATGAGAGCCCAAACAATGACTTCTCAAATACAACAATAGCCACAATAAAAAGGAAGAAATTCCATTTCTATTTCTTTTCTCCACAGTAGAGGTAGCTGGCAGTGTCTCAGGCTGAGAAAAGGACTGTCTTCCACTTAGACATATAATCCAGCATTCCCTGCCAAGAACAAGATAAATATCTAGATGTATATTATTGATGTCACTATATCCCAATATAACTAAAATATTGTCAGTGTACTATATATTTAATTAATATAGAACCACATTTTTGTGCTACTCCATGGTGCCAGTCCAAATTAATTTCACAAAATCAATGTGAATTTTGGAACAGCAAGCTTAGTAAAAGTATGGGTCAAATTCAGCACATCTTGGAACAGGG